AAAGTAAGGAAATAAATTGAGATGAAAGCAAACTGACATTAGGCTTTGTGTACCTCTTCCCCCAAACAATAAAAATATAATACAAAAGATCTTTTGCTCTAAGCCTCTGTGTCCAGGAATTATGCCTGTTTATTGTTTAATGTTTCTATTAAAGAGAGAGACCTGTGCCTTAGAGTTCTAAATAAGGTAGTGGAGTTGTGATTGGATGTCCGCACTAAACTTGCTCCAAAGATGTGAGCCCCAAACAATGAGTGTCAGAATGTTATGCCATCGAAGATCCACCATTTTTGCTTCAGGGAAAGTTACAGATAGATTTCCTCACCACTGGCTGTCCCCACCTGAAGAAGGCAATGAGTCGTGCACATGAAATACAGCTGTGGGCTGTGAGCAAACCCTCTGTTTCTACCTTTTCACCCAGATGAACTTTGTTCAGAGGTCCATGACAGCTAAGATATTTGAAGTAATCATATCTCTGACAGAGTGTTGAAAGCATTATGTGTAAATAACTACATGGTTCTCTGACATTATTTTGGATAAGTAACAAAGGGATCATTTGGAAAAAAACCTTGGGGTCATGAAACTTCTTTATCAGTGCATACAAAAGAATCACAATAAGGTCTAAGGAAGAGTTGGGAGTCATTAATTTTGGCAACATTGAAAATAGTCATAATCACTGTGTAATCAGATCATAGATCATTTTGAAAATGAGTGGGGGAAAACCACACAATGTTTCGATATATTTGAGGCTTTTTAAAAAATCTAATTCCTTTTAACAACTGCAACAAAAGTCCACCTTAAATAGATAACCTCTTCAGATTTAACACAATCCAACCCTTCCTGAGATCTTCAGAAAAGAACTGCTATGAAATTACTTTACTCAATGGTTCTGCAGATTCTTAAACTCTAGAGGTTTAACAATCTCATTTGGTTTAAAAGTGATTTAAACCTATCTCTTTGGATTAAAAGTTACAAATTTAACTTAGAAATTTCACTGATTTTTCATTTTTAATACTTTTTCATTATAAAGGGATACCTAGTTCTATTACCTATGGATGCTAATAAGTTAACTGGGTTAATTCAAAGGGATTTTTGTTTGTTTTTTAGTTCGATCATACTAATAAATTGCTTACCATTTTCTAGAGAGTTCCCTGTTTTGATGAAATACTTCCTTTTGTCCTCGGGCCAATTTTGTCTTTCCTGTAAGTGCTTTGTTATATTCAAGTAGGCTTCATCAAGACTCATAGCCATAAAATTGGGATCATAATCAGCAAGTATTTCCTTAACCTTCAAAAGGAACAAAATGATTTAAATTTTGCTGCCATAGCAAAACCCGTAATATAACAGCTGATAAGAAACATTAATATTCTTACTTTGCAACTACAGTAAAAATCCTGCAATCAATAATTCATGGATTTAGGGAATAAATAATTTATTGCTAGCACAAGTTTGTCCAAAGACTCATTAGAATTAAAATAGATCATGAAGGCAGAAGACCATGAAACAGCTTCATCTGATACAATCTCTACTCAGCCACCTTTATCTAGATATAATAAATGACTCAAATAAGTCTCAGACATCATTCTGGTAGGCACAGAAAAAAGGGTTAAGTAACATAATTTAAAGTAAATGGTTAAAAATAGAAATCGGAACAATAGGATCCTGCTCCCCCTCACCTTTTTATTTTAAAAAGAAATAATTCTTTTTTTCAAAGTAGTCTCCACACCCAGCAGGCAGCACAAAGCGCTGAGTTATTGAACTCAATAACCCTGCGATTAAGACCTGAGCCAAAATCAAGAGTTTGATGCCTAATTGTCTAAGCCTCCTAGGTGCCCCTAAAAAGGAATAATCTTACATAAAATACTATGTTGCTTTAGAAAGTAGTTCTATTTTAATTAATTATAAATATGCACATAAAACTCTACTCAAAACATACATTAATGCATGTATCCATTCAGAAAACAAAGCTCAATTATCGAAATTTGGAATGGAAAAGATGACAAAATCTACAGTGGAAGTCTGTGACTACATTAAATGACAGGGAAAGTCTGGAGGGGCATCTTGAGATAAATAAAAAGATCAGAATTTCCATATGATTCCAGAAACATCGTTTATGTAAGATAGTTTTATTATACAGAACTATAAATGTTTCTAACCACTGAAGTATTAACTGAAATTGGAGGAAATGGTTGCCAAAATAATATATACATATTTGAAAAATGTATTTGTTGAATTATGTTATCCTTCCATCTAGTATTTAAAATCTGTCTGCTGGATCATGAGAAAAACCTTTTTTGAAGTTTTATAAAATAAAGCTTTTTAGCTTAATTTAATTATGAACAGCTGAGTCAAAGGTAATTTTAGAAAATGGTGATATAAAACTTGGCCAAGCTTTACTCAGAGAGTACCTTAATTAGCTTTGTTCTTCTGGAAGAAACCAATTATATAATGTACTCAAATGGGATCTTTCTAGTGAAAATGAAACTCTGGAAAGTCTGTAGTTGGCAGACAACGAAGATTATTCTGAATGAGAAGTACTCCCTAGAGACATGGAGTACTCACTAACTTCCTTTTCAGAGGATACTGCTTGAAGAACAAAAATAGACATGTTCCAGTAAAACTCAAGTACTTAGGTTCCAACAGTCAAAGCTGTTCCATTCTTTTGGAAAAAAATAAAAATGGGTCTCCTTAAACTTTTAAACCAAGTCATACATATTAATATACTTAGAGTCAGTGAATTTGTGCTATAGTTCGTTCACACGTAAGAACCCATTTGCTATCTGCAAATAAACTAGTTAGATCCTGCTCTAATTAGAGAAAGGTTTCTCCAATTTCTGTAACAAGACAGAAGACAACTAAAAACAATTTAGCTCTCATTATCATATTGTCAGAAGTTTTACTGATTTAAAGCAGGACTCAAAAAAAATTCCTTCTTACAAGGACTCTGAAGGATTTTCAAACTTATTCAAAGCCCGTAATATTTGTGGTTAGCATTTTATCTCTTTCTCATTAGGAATATGGTAAAAGAGACAAGCAGAAACCACACTGGAATGTGGTTCCCTCTTCTCTACCACCTTTTCAGAGATAGGCAAAAAGCACTTGCTGCCACAGACTGTTTTTGAAAGAATGAAAAAAACAGAATTTTAAAAAAATTTGGGGTGCATACCATTCCACTTTGGGGAGGTTTCATTTCTAGAGTACATGAGGTATAATACAAATAAGAGGAGCGAATCTAAAGATGACCTACAGGACCAAATGATAGTAAGGGTTAGGCCATAGATTTTTAAGGGTTTCAATTCAGACAGCAGTCTTTAACACAGTGCATTTTATTACAGAAGTCTGAAACTGTTTGATGCACTATTCTAAAATTTTAACTGATGATGTGTTTTAGCACTAGCTAAATGATAGTCCAGTTATCAAAACCAGAGAAAATCACAATTTTCATATATGACAATTTAGGCAATTTTACTGAGTAATCAAATCTTTATATTTCAGATCCTTTTCAAAGTAAGATGATTCCCTTTTTTCCTTGATTATTGGTCTCTCAAACATTAAAGGCTCATAAGCATCTTCACTAGACTGTGAGGCAAGGAAAACAGTTAATCAAGATAATGGAATTTCATTACTGTCTAAAAACATTTATTATTATTGTGAATAGAAAAATTTATTCACAAAAGAGGTTGAAATTAATGACATGAGTAGATTATATAAATTATAAATAGGTAATTCTAGAAAAAAAGTATATTGCATATTAAGAAAAAAAACACCTAAAGTTAATACAGATTATAATTAAGGCAATTTAAAGTTTTCCAGGTAGATAATTTTCTAAACAGATGAAAAAATATGTGCAAGAGCAAAGATCTGGGAAACAGAAAGGTGTGCTCTGTATACTCAGCTCAGTTTTCAATATATGAGCTGGAGAAGTGGTAGGAGGTAAGACTTAAAGGGATAAATTAAGACCAAATTCTGATGCACTAATTCATTTGGACTTGACTCTGTAGGTGACAGGAAATCAGTGAAAGGCTGTAAGTAAAAGTGCTTCATCAGACTTACCTCTGTACTCACAGCTTGGTATTTGTCAAAGTTTGGAGACACAATAATAAGTTGTGGGCAGAGTCTTTTAGCAATAAATCCTGGCATGGCTGCACGAACACCAAATCTCCTTGCATGGTAATTTGAAGTAGACTGAAAGAAAACGGACCACATGGGAAAAAATATACAAACCTAAATGGGCATACCAATCAATGAGTTCATAAGAAACACATTACTGATGTGCATTTTCAAGTCAAGGACATCTGTCTTATCGGCTGCAGTCTCGAATTAAGCTTTGACTTTATCCTATCATGGTATTACGATACCATAACCCTCTCTCTCACAATATGTCTCCATATTTATGTGATGCCAGGTAATAAACAAGACTAAAAAGAAGGTTCTTCTACATTTCCAATTAACTAAACTTCATTAGCTCTAAGGCATAACTGTAATATAGTATATATCAAAGTTTGGATGATAGTGGATGATGTTACATGAAAGTAATAACTATAAAGTAATGTTATAGTACAAATAGTATGGATATTAAATGTAAGTAACAGTCTAGAAAGTAATAGCATGGTATAATAGTATAGATTTGGAATTTGCATTTGAAATTTTTCATTTGGAACCAAAGTCAAAGGTTCTGTTAATTGTCAGCTAAATTAAATGTCAAAAAAATGAAGTGATGAAAGCTTAAAAGAGCTTTTAAAATTACATTTTATTTCTTAAGGCTTGAATATACTTTTTGGTGAAAACATTTTCAGTAGGAGATGGAACTAAAAAATTATGAAAGTAAGAATGAGATTACTTTTTTTTTTAAGATTTTATTTATTTATTTGACAGACAGAGATCACAAGTAGGCAGAGAGGTAGGCAGAGAGAGAGGAAGCAGCCTCCCCACTCAGCAGAGAGCCCGATTCGGGGCTTGATCCCAGGACCCTGGGATCATGACCTGAGCCGAAGGCAGAGGCTTTAACCCACTGAGCCACCCAGGTGCCCCGAGAACATTACTTTTAAATCCTGTTGATACCACAATACCACTTACAAAAAAATTTTTTATCTCAAACAAAATCTTTGAAATCGCAAGTGAAAATTCAAAGAAATGGAAAACATAATCTATCACATGAAAGGATTACTTCAGACTAGCATCAATTTGCCATTAGTAGCTTTCAGATGGCATTTTAAAAATCTTGATAGTACTCAAAACTATGCCAATCTTTGACAGTATTCTGGAAGAGAAGATGCAGATGGGACTAGAAAGACAAATCAATGTTTTAAATATAAATAACTCTAATGGAATGGATATGAAAGCTAGTAGGTTTGTGGTAGATTGTAAATCACAGCCACGATACTTAACAGTTCCTCCTATTCAAGGGTGGGTTCCAGTCCCTCATGCCAAATGACTTGTACTGTGACTTGTTTTGACCAGAAGAATATGAGGGAGTGACATTGTGAGTTGTGAAGCCTAGGCATTATGAAGTCTGTAACTTCAGCCTTTGCTTCCTTGGGGATCCAACAATTATATAATGGTCTTGGGTTAGATTGCTAAATGATGATGTACCATGTGGAGAGGGAAAAGTTCATCGGCTGGAAGCCATTCCAGCCATCTTGGCTGAAAGGCCAAGTGTGTTAATAAAGACATTTTGGATCCTCCAGCCCCAGCTAAATAACTGTAGTCAACCCTCGGTAGAGTAAACTTATCCCCAGTGTGCTCTGCTCAAATTACAGAATCCTGAGCAAACCACTAAGTACTTAAAGGGGTTTGTTATGCAGCAATAAATAACTGCTAAGGGTCTATGTTTTGACTATGAGTACTAACTTAGAATACTTTGAAGATCCATCAAATTATTCAAAAAAGAATTCTGGGGGCACCTGGGTGGCTGAGTCAGTTAAGCATCTGCCTTCAGCTTGGGTTATGATCCTGGGGTCCTGGGATCGAGCCCCACATCAGGCCCCCTGCTTGGTGGGGAGCCTGCTTCTCCCTTTCCCACTCCTGCTGCTTGTATTCCCTCTCTCCCTGCCTCTGTCAAATAAATCAATAAATAAAATCTTCTAAAAAAAATATTCTGACTGTACTAGACTGAAATAAACATATACCATCACTACCATTAATTTGTAAATACACTTTTATGAATTTAATAGAACAAAAGCAAATTTATTCCAAATCTCATTAGAAATGAAGTCTATTAGTTGAGTATACAAAAGGGGTAATCTTTGTTTAAATATGGCGATCATTTTGAATTTGGAAGTAATAATCAATTTTTAGGAGGATATAATTCATAGGAAGAAAAATATTTTGCAGATCTAGCAGTGGGTTTAGCTTTAAAATATATACATATGTACACAAAGATAATTTCACATAAATATATGGTGATATATATTCTTTTTGTTTGTTTTTAAAGATCTTATTCATTTATTTGACAGAAAGAGAGACAGTAAGAGACGGAACACAAGCATAGGGAGTGGGAGAGGGAAAAGTAGGCTTCCTGCAGAGCAGGGAGCCTGATGTGGTACTCGATGCCAGGACCCTGGGATCATGACCTTAGCCGAAGGCAGATGCTTAACAACTCAGCCATCCAGGCGCCCGGTGATATATATTCTTAAGAAGATTAAATACATTTTTTCAAATATCAGCTGATGATTTGTAGGAAAGGGGAGTAGTCTTTCAGTAAACATTGTTTTGGAACCTGGAATGTTAGTTGCTAGCATACCTATGGGAGCAGAGATGATGAACAAATAGATAATAGTTTTATAATAAAATAGTAACTCAGTAGGAATTAGGTTTATAGCTGTCTAAAGCATTGGAAGGACTTAGGAAGAGGGAAGAACTCTCCTTGTTTCTCTTATATGTTTTTTAATATCAAAATCCATCTATTCCAGGGGCTGTTATTAGTTACCCACACATTTTTAGCCACATATAGCAATCCTGGCCATCTATACCTTTCGGTGGTGATAAGGAAGAGCAACATGGTAATCAGAAAAGCAAAGGTTCCAAGTCATGGGGAGAATTAATTACAGCAGTATTCTAATAAAATATATTACCCTAGAACTAAAGGTGGCAAAATTTTCTGTAAATGTCCAGATAGTAATTACTTTGAGCTTTGCAGATCATATAGTCTCTGTTGCAGCTACTCTACTCTGCTCTTTTAATACAACAACAAACAAATGGGTGTGACTGTGTTCCAATAAAATTTTATTTACAAAAAAAGACTAGATTTGGCCTGCAAGCCATTGTTTGCAAACCTGCTTTAAGGTAACACTTCCTTTTCTTTCTTTCTTTTTTTTTTTTTAAGATTTTATTTATTTATTTGACAGACAGAGATCACAAGTAGGCAGAGAGGCAGGCAGAGAGAGAGAGAGGAGAAAGCAGGCCCCCTGCAGAGCAGAGAGCCCAATGCCGGGCTCGATCCCAGGACCCTGGGATCATGACCTGAGCTGAAGGCAGAGGCTTTAACCCACTGAACCACCCAGGCGCCCGACACTTCCTTTTCTTTCATCTCCAATTCCCTTTTACTGAAACAGTTACTTAATAAAAAATACAGCTTGCAATAGAAAGATATAATGCCACTCTACTACTCACCAGGCTTGTAACTTTGGGGAAGTTTTTAAGCACCTCTCTGAGTTAGTTTTTTGTCATCAAATGGAAATAAAAATTTGTACCTCAAGAGATGTTGAAAAGGGGCGCCTGGGTGGCTCAGTGGGTTAAAGCCTGCCTTCGGCTCAGGTCATGATCTCAGAGTCCTGGGATCAAGCCCCACATCGGGCTCTCTACTCAGCAGGGATCCTGCTTCCTCCTCTCTCTCTGCCTGCCTCTCTGCCTACTTGTAATCTCTGTCTGTCAAATAAGTAAATAAAATCTTTAAAAAAAAAAGAGAGATTGAAAGGATTCGGTAATTGAGCATATATAAAGCACAAAGGAAAATGCCCAGCAAACTTGTAGAGCTTACTAAAGGCTTCTCCCTTCATGAACCACTAAGGCTTACTCAAATATGTTATGAAATTTCCTTTTTGCCTTTGATCTTTACCTACTTACCAACATACTCATTGATCCTACAGCAATGGGTTTATCCTTCAATTCTGGATTGTCCCTCATTTCTACAGCTGCATAGAAAGCATCCATGTCAATGTGTACTATAGTATTGTTCAGATCCCGGCTCTTTTCCAATTCCATTGCAAATCTGTCAACCTTAATTTTTAAAAAATTAACACATTTTGAATCAACATGCTATGGAAATAGCAACAGTCATAACATTAATCTCCCTTTTAGTAGGTATCTGTCTCTGCCTGTCTATCTACCCATCCATCCATCCACCCAACCACCCACCTATCTATATATATTTGACTATTTTTAATTAAGTCTGATAATTTCTTCTATTTTCATTAAGACATGCAGTTAAATCTCAAATATCATGCACTACCAACACTTTAATCTCTCAATAATTACAATCACATTACAGGTACTTAATAAATATTTATGAATAAATGAACTATTCCAACTGATTGTATCAAATGATTCTGCTTTATAAATCTGAAGACCAATTTACTGTAAATAAAAGCTTCTGTTTAGGTAAGATAAAAAACTCTCATTTGACTCATAACATTAATGTCAAAATAGAAACAAAGGATGTACAATGAAAGATTATATACTTCTTCGGCATATTATGTTTGTGCTGAATAGTATCATAAAAGTGAATATACCAACCACAATGTAAACATTCCCTCTGTAGAACTGCCTTTATGGGGCTAAAATTTGGTATCCGTTAGTCAATACAAATCAAAATTGAAAATTCAAGCTATAATTTATTCTTTCATGAAACACTTCAATTTATATGTCAAATATAACAGTGTAGAACCTTAATCTTTAAAGCACTTTTTATTTCTCTAGTGAGAAAGCACTGGTTTGATAAGAAGAAAGGGAAATGAAAGGAAGTAAAAATAACCAAAGTAGGACAGTAAGAAAAGGGTTTATGTAACAGACGTACACATTTTCAAGTGTTCCTTTTTTGTGGCCTCTACTCTAGAGGCTGAAGAAGCTAAATATGTTTCGCAGCTTTCCCTGCAGCCAAGGGTGGCTGGCTGTGTGACCATTTTGATCTATGATCACTTTGAATAAGCTGGAATACAGAAAGAGCACGGCAAAGTGGCTGGCACATGGTACAAGTTTAATGAATGTAATCTATGACTAAAGGATCAATGGACAGCTGTAGAGCAAAACAATAAAAAACGGAGGGGAAGAGAGCCAGATATATAAGCAAGTGGGGTGAGCTCTGGAATGAAAGCAATTTCCATTATGTGGCAATCTCTGTATCAGGTTTTCTCAAAAGTGGAGAATTACAGGGGTATAATTTGGCTTTTTCTCTTTGTTGGACTTCAACCTTGCTTCCATTCTGCAAATTTTTTTTCATGGCCTTCCTTCTTAGCATTATAGTGGAACTAGCTTCCCACTAGCTGCAGGTTAAGCCTGCAACTTCTCTTTTAGAAATAATCACCCTGAATCCTATTTGTCTCCAGTAGCCACAGTGAGCCTCTAGAAGGTCTGCTCCTGTTTAGGCTGTAACTCATGAATAGCCTGGGGTGGTGCTTGGTGTCTTCTTCAGGCTGTTCCTCTGTCTACAATGCCCGTCTTGAGTTCTTTCATAAAGTCTTGAAGGGTCAGCTAGGTATCTCTCTGTAGCTGAATTACATCTCTGTCCTCCATGCCACAGAATTCAATGTTCTTTACTTGTTTTCCTGCTCTTACTATGCACTTACTGTATTAGATACTAAATTATGAGTTCCACCAGGAAAAGGACCTCATTTGCCTTCAAATTCTTTCCTTATGAGACAGAAAGAGGTGAGACTCATAGAATATATATATATTCTATATATATATATATATATTTCTGCTTCAGAAAGAGAAGGTAGTATGTGTAGAAAAATTTGGGAGAAGGTTGGTCTCATGCAGTGAGACACCACTCTTAATAAATGGAAATTTTCAACATTACTCCAAACTATCATCCAGATTCAAAACAACTACTTCTTCCAGTACCTCAATTGTAAATTAGAGAATAGCATCCTGACATTAAAAAAAAAAACAAAAGATGTAAACAAATCATGGAGACTAATGAAAACAAGGGTGGATTAAAAACTACTATATGTTAATCCAGAAAATATACCTAAAATATAAGTCAATTGAGAATAAGGGAGCAGCATTTGAAGTATCTTAACCCATAAATACTGGAAAGGAAAAAGATAATAAATAGAAAGCAAACCAAATGGAAAAAAGTTCTCCTTAGCCCATACAATAATTCTGTGACAGTTTCTTCAGCAATCTATTATCTTTTCTGTGCTTAAAGTGCAAGTACAGTTGCCAAAAGGAAACCTCCCCACTGAGTGACTCACACATTCCATTTTCCCCTACTCTCATTAGTCACCCTTGTCTAAACACTTTTTCCTCTGCATCTACCAAATGCACACCACGCTGCTTTTTTCAAATTTCTTCTACTGAAATCTTCATTAATGTTTTCCTTTCTTCCATTTTCCCTTCCAGATGAATTCCAAGTTCTGATCTGAGCCTCTAACATGTATGTTATCCCTTTTGTCACAGTTCAGAACCATGGTTAAGAATAAGAGCTTCTTGTGGGTTTCAGCTCTGCCACTTATTAGCTACATGATAATGGGCAAGTTAACCCTCATTCTTACTTTGTTTCTAAATTTGGATGAAACCAACCCCCAAAGGTTAAAGAATTAAAAGGCGTACTCATGTAATGTAGTTACCCAGGGATATGGAAAGGGCTTAATTATATAACCTATAATTTTAGAAATAGAAGTGACATTTATTGAGTATATCATATGTGTTATACAACATGTTAAGTACTTCTTATGTTAACGTCCTATGTTAACTCATTTAGGGGTCAAAATAATTCTGAGTTGCTAATTATTATTCTCATTTTAGAGAGGAGAAAACTAAACCTCAGTAAGATGCAGTAATCTGTCTTAAGCCACACAGCTGGAAAATCTTAGCAGTAGACCTGTAAAGCAAGTTACTCCAAAGGCTGTGCTCTTTCCATTATTTTATGATGCTTCCCTAAAATGGATCTTAAAAAGTCTTTCACACTCAAGTTCCAATAGTGTGTTTTATATCAACATTATATTTTATTTACTTTTTTAAAATCCCCTTTTTTATTACATTCAGGAGATTATTTCAGAAATATTGTTTTTCACTTTCTTAACTTATAATTACCCTAAAAATTGTTCAGGAAAACTGAGTTCATAAAACCAATTGTTAAAGTGGTCAAAATGCACTGATTTTCTGCGTAGTTGCCATTTAATACAACATGGATGGTTGTCTATTCAATTTATGAACCCATGTTTTAACAAGATGTTTTGGCAGCTATAAAAATAATTGCATCTTTAGCAAGTCTAATGAGGGTAGGGCGGAGCGGAGAATAGGTTCTGAATAAACTGTGGGAGTTCATGCCAACAGAGGTTAGTTACCACATCTTGACTAGCAATAATAGTTCCTACCATCACAGCACACATAATAAAATCTATTATTTGGAAATTGTATGACTCTAGAATAGAATGCATTTCCCATGAAAACCTCTTTTTCTCTCAGATCTTTTTGATTCCTTAGGATTTCCTTAATCCTCTCCCATTTATACAATTTCTTTTAAAGGAAGTTCAACAAATGAAACAATTTAACAATCAACATAGAACATATTTCCTGCCACTCCCTTTGCAAAAGATGTCAGAGAGTCTCCCCAGAAATAGTCAACTAAAATCGTAACAAAATGTGAAGATCTGTTATACAGTATAAGGTATTTTCTAATCCTTCAAATTATTAGTATATTTAAGGATATGAGCTTTAAAAAGATTCAATAGCAAAAAGTTATTTTATTGCATCATTCATATGCATTTTATCTTTAAAACTTTATTACAGATATTTGTATAGATCAATAAAACTTACCAAAAAGAAGTTCTAAAAATAAATTGCCAAGAATTAATATCAATTTAAAAACAATATTATAGACAGATGGAATATTACCTTGTTGAAATGATGCTCAAATTTATTCAAACAAATTTATTCAACATATGAGAAAAAAATTTTTAAAGAATGGTAGCGAAGGAGAATATTAAAGTATATTATTATAATTGGATAACTAAAATTGCATGGTACTGATATAGGAAAAGATTCAATTGAATAAGAAAGAGAATCCAGAGGGCGCCTGGGTGGCTCAGTGGGTTAAGCCACTGCCTTCGGCTCAGGTCATGATCTCAGGGTCCTGGGATCGAGTCCCGCATCCGGCTCTCTGCTCAGCAGGGAGCCTGCTTCCCTCTCTCTCTCTCTCTGCCTGCCTCTCCATCTACTTGTGATCTCTGTCTGTCAAATAAATAAATAAAATCTTTAAAAAAAAAAAAAAAAGAAAGAGAATCCAGAAACAAATCCAAATACAATGAGAATTTCGTATATGGGAGTGCCTCATTTCAATTCAGTGAAGAAAGGACTCAAGATTCAATAAATTCTGTTGGGACAAATGAATCACCATTTAGAAAAAAATGATACTATTAGGGAAAATGTAATATTCACCATTTAAGAAAAAAAGTACTTAACACCTTACATTAAAACAAATTCAAGGTGGGCTTGGGTGGCTCTGTCAGTTAAGCCTCCGACTCTTGATTTCGGCTCAGGTCATGATCTCAGGGGCATGAGATCGAGCCCCATGTCTCAGTCTCTATGCTAGGCAGAGAGCTCGCTTAAGATTCTCTCTCTCTCTCTCTCCCTCTCTATCCTTCACCCCTCCCCTGTCCCTCTCTTTACCTCTAAAAAAAAAACAAAAACAAACTCAAAATGGACTAAAAACAAGCAAATTCTATAAAAATACTAAAAGAACCTATAAACTTGCTTGTAAAGAATAATTTTCTATGCTTTCAAGAAAAAAAAAAGTTTTTCAATACTGCTGTTTTGATTACATAAACATTTAAAACTGTATAGGAGGGGCGCCTGGGTGGCTCAGTGGGTTAAGCCGCTGCCTTCGGCTCAGGTCATGATCTCAGGGTCCTGGGATCGAGTCCCACATCGGGCTCTCTGCTCAGCAGGGAGCCTGCTTCTCTCTCTCTCTCTCTCTCTGCCTGCCTCTCTGTCTACTTGTGATCTCTCTGTCAAATAAATAAATAAAATATTTAAAACTGTATAGGGAAAAAAAACCCTGCATGTTTAAAAGGCAAACAACATATTAGGGAAATATTTACAGTAAATGGCAGAGGAATAAATCTTTAATTTATAAGATGTATTAATCAAGAGAAAAATATATAAACTCCTCTAGAAATGCAGGCAGAGGATACTATTTTGGACTGCTCGTTGAACCCCCAAATCCATTCTCTCTTGCTTTCATAGTAATAGATTTATATCTGGGCATATGGCCACCCAGCTGGAAAATATTCTGTACAGCTTCTCCTGCAGTTAGGTGTGGCCATGAAACTTAAATTCTTGTCAAAAGAATGTGAGCTGACGTAATATGTGCAACTTCTCTTTCACTTGTTGAATAGCAAATTACTCGCCTTTCATTTTTTTTCCCCCTCACTCTTTCTTCCTTACTGGGGGCTGAAATACAGACTAGAGATAATCCCATTCTGTCAATCCAGGTTAAGAATAAATAACACTTAGGGTTAAAACAACCCGATATAGCACCGGGGTCCCAAAATTACTATGGTGAGCAGAACCACCCAATCAGTTGGGACTACTTACTATTACATGAGAAAGAAATAAACTCTTATCTGATTTGAACCGTTGTATTTTGGAGTCTCTTGTGCCAGCAACTTAGCCTATATATTAATAGAATAAAAAAGGCAATTCCAATAAGAATGAAATATTAATGGCTAATATGAGAGAACACATGCTTTCTCTTTTATTATCTAAGAAGGACACATTAAAATAACCATGGAATAATATTTGGACACTACAAGAAAAAACTAGGAGACTGATAAAATCAATAAAATCTAGTTTCAAAAACAAGTATGTCAAAAATGTAAAACTGTACCATCTTTGGCGAAAATAACAGGACAAGAGTGCAAACATATATAGATAAGAATGATTATCACAAGGTTATATATAAAACAAAAACTGAAACCCTGGTGGGATAAGGTAAATAAATTCTGGTACCTCCATATAGTAGAACACTAAAAATGACTAAAGCACAAAGAGGGCTTTAAAATGATGCACTAAATGATGATTTGAAAGACTGAGGCAAGTGATCTTTTGTCATGATAGCAGACCACTTAACACATAAGATAAAAAAATTAGCTTGCACTCTAGGAGAGTATATATGAAAAAAATGACATATAGTTTAATAAAAAAGACATAAAATTTATGATTTCTGAACTCTATCATGAGAATTGCTGCAAAATATTAACATAGGATAGAATATTAACATAATTTTATCATTATTAATGGTCTAAAGTGCTTTGTTAAATTGAATCAAATTTTGAAAGAGAGCAAAAACTGTCTTTTTTAAAAAATATTTTATTTATCTATTTGACAGAGATCACAAGCAGGCAGAGAGGCAGGCAGAGAGAGAGAGGGAGAAGCAGGCTGCCTGCTGAGCAGAGAGCCCAATGTGGGGCTTGATCCCAGGGCCCAATGCGGGGCTCGATCCCAGGGCCCAATGCGGGGCTCGATGTGGGGCTTGATGTGGGGCTTGATGTGGGGCTCGATCCCAGGGCCCTGGGATCATGGCCTGAGCGAAAGGCAGAGGCTTTAACCCACTGAGCCACCCAGGCACCCCTAAAAACTGTCTTTAAAAGTAAACTTTACACCATGTAATATTACATGACAGATACAATTAGAAAGAAAGCCTATTGAAAGAGTAATATATGTATAACTAGGTTTACTTTTATTTATGATTGGAAATACACAACACATAATGGAAAATAATAAAATAAAATTAAACTTTATTAAAAAAATTAAAAAAATAAAAAATAAAAATAAACTTTAGTTTCACTAGCAGAAGCTTGACTACTTTGAGTTCTCCATCTACTACACAATGCCCTGCAGCTTTGCCCTATGCAAACCTTCCTCCCAAAATAGTTTTAAATACCAGAGGAAACTCTTGAGTATTTATTTCCCAGAGATGGTAGAAAAGCCAAAAGCCTCCAAATTTTTAGAAGTCTGGTGTTTTATCTTAAAAATTCATGTACATTTGGCATTCCACTCTAGTTTCAGTACAACACAATTATGTTTTAAATTTCTAATTTAATTAGTTGACATGTTCTTCCAGATCATTTTTGTAAAATCGGCATTGAAGAAAACATGCCACATTTATCCTGTGGCCTTTTTCTAGCTACAAAATATGTATATAATAAAAAAGAACCATAAGTTTTGGATTAAATCCTAGCTCTGAAGCTAGGCAAGTTATCTATCCTAAGGCTCCATTTACTCTTCTGTATAACGGAGGTGACAATGCCTTGGTATGGGGTCTTGATATAAAAGAGTAGAGCAATATTTAACAAAGTATAAGCCTCTGTTAAATTTTATCCCTTACAATACAATGAACATTTACATATTACCTTGTTGTCAGTTATAACTTGACCATGATGCATTTTAACTATCAATTACTGTTCTACCAGCTTCCACTTTATTTAACAATTAAATTAATACCTGTAATTGTGCTTTCCTTAGCTGTTGGCTGGTAATTTGAGCTTTTTGTTGCATCATATTTTCAATTCGTTGGTTGACTTGCTTTTCTTTCTTGAGCTCATTTCCATAAAATCTGGACCCCTATGTAAGAAAAAAAAAAACAAAGCAAAAGAAAAGAGTCAGACAGAAAGCATCACTGCCATACAGACTAGAATCAGAATAACTGAATTCAAAACTTAGTACCACTACTTACTAGGAACTACTAACTAGGAACTTCCCGGGAATCCTAAAACTACTTAATCTTTCTATGTCTCAATTTCCTTGCCTGCAAAATGAATTTATAGTTACCTAGAATTGTTGAAGCAGTATTTATAAGTACAAACTCTTCGAGATGAGTATGGATATGTTATTCCAAAAATAACAATGTGTTCTAGACAGGATCCATAGGGCATATCCAAGGCCTTAGTCATTTGGGTCATCAGCTATCTCCTTCACTTTTACTTAAAAAGTACTTAAGGGCGCCTGCATGGCTTAGTCGGTTAAGCATTCGACGCTTGATTTCTGCTCAGGTCATGCTTTCAGGGTTGTGAAATCGAGCCCTGTGTTGGGTTCTGCACTGGGCATGAAGCCTTCTAAAATTCTCTCCCCTAGCCCCACCTTTTCTAAAAATAATAATAATAAAAAATTTAAAAAATAAAGGATTTTAAAAATTTTAACGTTATCCATTAAAGAAAATGTAGACAATCACTCTTAGAAAATTACCTATCATCCCATCACTAAACATAACATCTAATTCTATCCACTCATCAGGCTGATGGAAATTCAGATTATTTTTACATTATGGCTTTAATGAAAAATGCCGCAATGAACATTCATATACACATTTTTGCATGGACATGTTTTCACTTTCCATAGGTACCCAGGAGTGGAATCTCTGCATGCTAAACCTTTTGAGGAACTGCCAGAACTCTTTTCCAAAGTGGCTGAACCGTTTTACAATCCCATCAGCAATGTATGAAGGTTCCAGTTTTTCCATATCCTTATCAACATTTATTATTGTCTGTCTCATAGCCATTCTAGACTACAATAGTGTGAATGGCACCTCAATGTGGTTTTAATTTGCATTTCCCTGATGACTAATGATGCTGAACATCTTTTCATGTGCTTAGGAGCCATTCTTATCTCTTTAGTGAAATGTCTATTTCTATCTTTTGCCCATTGTTTGTTAGGTTGTCTTATTAATAATTTGTAAGAATT